CTGCGGCGGGGCCCCGGGCTCAGTCCCGCCGGTGGGACAGAGGGAGGGAGCGATGGCCGTCTCAGGCGGTGCCCGGCTGCTCCGGCGCCACCGAGCCGCTGCCTGTGCCCGCTCGCATCCCCCGCCTCCGCCTCACACCTCCGCCACCGCCCGCTCGTCCCCTCGCGGTGGGCAGGCGCAGCCGCCGCGCGGAGCCCGCTCCTCCGTCCCGCTCCTCCTCCTCGGGGAACGGGAAGGGAAGGGAAAAGAAAGGAAAAGGCGAGAAGAGCGGAGTAGAGCCGCGCCCTGCCCTACAGCCCCGCGCCGCACGCGGCCAGCGCGTTCCTGCCCGCGGCGGCACCTGCTCGCTCTGCCTCCATCCTCCGCCCGGGGAGCTTTAAATAGAACACGTCACCGCGCTCCCCTACGCACCGACGTCACGCCCCGCTCCCGGCGCTGACGTCACCGGGGTGCGGAGGATGATGTCAGAGTGGTCCAAGCCGCCGGAAGCTCTTCTATAATAGGGAACGGCGGTGGGGGGAGAGCGGAGCGGGGAGGGCTCGGGGTGCTGGCGGCGCCCGGGCCGCCTCCTCCCGCCCCCGGCCCCTGCGGCGCCGTCTCCACGGCAACGCCGCGCCCGGCGGCTCGGCGGGGAGAACCGGTGTCACGGAGTCACGGGCGAAGGCGGCGCGGAGCCCTCTCCGGAACGTGGCTACTGCAACTTCCCAGCCCTCCGCCTTGCCAAAACATGGGCCCGCGTCCCACTGCTCTGCAGACGCTGCACACATAACACAGACAGCGTTACCGGAAAAACGGGGAAGAAATGCGGCAGCCATTCTAAAATTGTTCCCCCAAAAATGTAGATTCCGGCACATCCACGCTAGTACTATCGAAAAGAAAGAGTCAGACTGTAAGCTGGATAGCACATACAATATTTGGCTGAGTTCTTCACTTGTGCCATGAAAACAGCATGCTTCTAATCCATCACTTGCCAAAGCTCCAGCACCATGTACTATCTTGCAGGGATACACCTCATCTCAACTTCTGCAAATACTTCCATTAACTCTCTGAGATTCCATCAACTTGTAAACATGAGGTTTAACTACTCAGTACACTGCCAGTGACATTGGGATTCCCCAGGTGGAACATACTCCTTGCTAGGATGTCTTTCAGTGTTCTCGTATTTTCTGCTTAAGTGAGGTTGTAGCTACTAGAAGCTACATACGTATAGAGGCATATTAAACTACAATGAGCATAAGAGGAAGATACTGATACTACACTAGATGCCAATCTCACATAAAAATTGAAGAAGCCCAGAATATTCCCAATGTGTGTTACAGAATTGTAAAGTATGATAAAATCAACCATGTTAAAGCTGTTGCTTTAACAAAGGGTTGTTTGTCCTCTCATAAAACCTCTATTATTTAGGACCAAGTGTATCCCAGAAGAGGCTGGAATAAAAGACAGCATTCACCTAAAAAATCTAATCTTTCTATAGAGTCAGGATGCACATTTACAAAACTTATTTTAATCTACAAATGCATGTTTTACAGACTCGTTTCAACATTTTGACCTCTAAAAGTAATCAGCTATGGGAAAAGCAAGGATGACAAATTAAATATCAAGACAAACCTCCTCCAATCACAATCATAGGAAACCCAGCATGAATCATTACTATGGGAGTAGCAGCAAGGCATACTGCCTCACGAGGCAGAAAAGAACAGCTTCCTCTGCTGCCCATTTCTGATTTCCCACACACCACCTCATAAGCTAAAGGCACTGAGCTAAGAAGACTTTAGTTTGAGTGACAACAGTCTGAGGTTTGTTGTTTGCAATGCTAAGAACCTGCACAGTTATGACAAGGCTGCATAATTTCGCTGGACTGCAATTACTGTGGTTGAGCCTCACCTGCTGGCCCTGAAACATGAAATTCTATGTATTTTCCACTAAAAATAAAACTATGTGCGCAGGCTTCTATCATAAAACAGAGGTACTCTCTGGTGTTGGGATAGGGGGGAAGATGGAGATCCACAACTATTCTTTCTTCTATGTTAGAGTGAAAAAGATAAAAATTAATGCCAACTAGGCAAGCATAAACAAAAAGTAGCTTATATGTATGTATTCACTGATGTCAACTAGCTGGGAGTCTATATTCATTAGCTTCTAAAAGTCTGAAATGATACTCCATGTAGTAATGGCAGGTCAACAGCAAGGAAACTAAGGCTTTAATTTTATATATGAGTAACTGTTTCATCAGTTTATTCTTTCAGCTCAAGCTCACACACTAATGCAAATGCTTTAGTATTTCATTATGTTCACAGTATTTTGTTTAGATATCACAGATGATTCCATCTGTCTCTGCCTTTCAGCTTGTTCACATATTTGTCTTGCATGAAGTCTACTTTTCTGCAGCATGGGTACAAACCCAGAAATCCCCAAGAATGAAGACAAATACACACTGAACACTGGGGTAAAGAATAGTGTGTTCACTTGAGAATAAGTGGTGTGAACAGAATCATGGACAAAGAAACATGTGGAATATCAAGAATGTCTTTACTGACTTGTGAAATAAATGAACTGTATATTTCATGCACTTCTGTAAGTAATAAAATATGAGTACTGGGAAAGATAAGATCCTGGGTAGGGGAACAGAACTGTAGGGACTAAGAAAGTGTCACTTCAAGAAAATCTGATGATTTTTTTAAAGTTTTTTTCATTCTTAATTCTTCATTTTAACAGTTTTTATTTATTATTACATTTAAGTGCAGAAAGTCCACCTTATTAATTACTTCTCTTCCACATTTACTGCTATTTC